TATTTAAGAGAAGAAGGTATATTTACTTGAGTTTTATTCTTAGGAACTCCATATCATGAGGGGTTAGTCAAACATAAAAAGACAGAAGATGGGCTGGGGTTGTGGCTCAGTGGTAGAGTGCTCACTTAAGCATGCGTGAGGCCCTGGGTTCAATCCTCAGCACCACACAAAAAATGGATTAAATAAAATGAAGGTATTGTGTCCAACTACAACTAAAAAATAAATAATAAAAAGGGCAGAAAATGGGATGGTGGGGGCTGGGAATGGTCTTGGTAGAGCATTTGCCTGGCATGTGTGAGGCCTTAAGTTTCATCCCAACACTAAAAAAAAAAAAAAAAGGTGGTATAGTGTGTTGGACTTAGGGGTCACTGATTCCCAATGTGTCCTATCAAGATGTTTGAATTCTATGAGCGAGTATCTGGAGCCCGAATGCATGCTGCTTACATCCGCCCAGGAGGAGTGCACCAGGTAAGTGAGTGGGCTTCCCTGCCTCCCAAACCTCCAGTATAGGCCTCTTCCCTCTGTGGCCGCTGGAGGGCAGTGCTGGCTGRTGGAAACTAACCCTGTAGCCATGGGGGAGAGTTGCTGAGCTGACTGTCCTTAATGGAGACTGTACTATTTTCATTATTACCTTCATTTGGCTTCTAGGACCTACCCCTTGGGCTTATGGATGATATTTATGAGTTTTCTAAGAACTTCTCTCTTCGGATTGATGAAGTAGAGGAGGTAAGATAGAARACAATGGGGAAAAATCCCCCCTAAAAGAACATGTGGAATTTTAGTTTCCAATTGTAAAGAAATATAGATGTATTTAAATATTGTTATAAAGAGCATTAATGCATCAGTTTTCTTGATTAATAGATGCTGACCAACAATAGGATCTGGCGAAATCGAACTATTGACATTGGGGTTGTGACAGCAGAAGACGCSCTGAACTATGGCTTTAGGTAGGAGATTACTACATCTCTCCTTAGGGGTTGGGATAGGAGTGGGGAGTTCCAGCACAGTACCTTGGCTTGAAAGAATATTTGGCACCCTCTTTGCCATTTTCTGAGTTTGTATCTCATGCCCAGAATGTCAGRGAGGGAAGGAGGAGACTAAGGAAGAATGTGCCTCCTTTCTTGGTTTGTGGAGAGTGGCCCTTATGCTGTCTATTCTACAGTGGAGTGATGCTTCGRGGCTCAGGCATCCAGTGGGACCTGCGGAAGACTCAGCCCTACGATGTTTATGATCAGGTTGAGTTTGATGTTCCTATTGGTTCTCGAGGAGACTGCTATGATAGGTAAGGACCCAGTCCTTCCTTTCTCAGCTGCTTGTCTAGCTTGTTGCCCCTGCTTAACTTGTCTCTTTACTACTTTCTTTTTTACCCTACTTCCAAATCCCTATAGGAGCTCCTGTGTCAAATTAGGTTGCTTGAGCTGGGGGTGTAATTCAGCGAGAGAGCACTTGCTCAACATATATAAGGTTCTGGGTTCTGTCCCAGTACCAAAAACCAAAACCAAAACAAAATCCCCAAAATACATTGCACATACCTGGTATCTTATCTTATCCTTATGCTATCCCTGTCTTAGAACTAGTTTGGGCTGCATTTTATGGCTGAGAAATCTAAGGCATAAAATTTAGGGATTAGCCTGGGATTATTCTGTTAGTAGTGGTTAATAGTGGTTAAGACTAGAATCTGCCTGATCCTGTGCTCTTTCCACTAGATTCTAAGCTTTAAATTCCACTCCTCTTCACTGACCCTAAGTAAGATTAGAGTAAGATTTGCTACTATTGTTTTTCTGTTTTGTTTTGTTTGCTTGTTTTTCCATTTAATTCCCTCATTTTTTTTTTCTTCTTTTTTGTATCTGAGCTTTGAATCCAAGGACATTTTACCACTGAGCTATGTCCMAGCTCTTTTTGTTTTTTTATTTTGAGACAGGGTCTCCCTAAGTTGCTTAGGGCCTCAGTAAGTTACAGAGGCTGGCCTCAAATTTACAAGGCTCCAACCTCTCGAGTTGCTGAGATTATAGGCATTTGCCCCTGTGCTTGTCTCCTCCATTCAAATACATTCAAGAAAGTATTTGAGAGGATAAACAGGGAAATACTACAGGCCATGGTCTGAGAAAATAAAGAGGATTTGGAGAAAGGCTGTAGTAAAATCAAAATACTGCAGGATCTATATGGGTAACCACTCTAAACAGAGATGCTGTATTAGGAGAAAAGAGTGAGGACCATTTATCTAACTCTCTTGAGGTCAATCAGAAGTTATCTTTCCAGCCCCATATATGCTCCTCAGCCTTGTTCTGAGTCTGTTTTACTGACTTAGGTACCTGTGTCGGGTGGAAGAGATGCGCCAGTCCCTTCGCATCATCTTACAGTGTCTAAACAAGATGCCTTCTGGGGAGATCAAGGTTGATGACGCTAAAGTGTCTCCACCTAAGCGAGCAGAGATGAAGGTTGGCTGCAGGGAGAGGAGGAGGAGGGTATTGGGAAGGGGTTGGTGGCCAGGGAGGAGTAGCCTTGGATTCAATCCTATTTTTGCTTTTTCAAAGAATTTTCTGTTTTTTGGTTTTTTTTTTGTCTTTTTGTTTGTTTGGTACTGAGGGAGGGGTTGAACCCAGGAGTGCTCTACCAGTGAGCTACTCTCCAGTTCTTTTCATTTTTTATTTTGAGACAAAGGTCTCAGTAAGTTTCTGAGGCTGACCTTGTTCTTGTGATCCTCTTGCCTCAGCCTCCTGAGTAGTAGGCGTGCACCACCAGGCCTGGCATATTGTATAAGATTCTGAGCGTCTTGTGGCACTCTTTTATTCTGTGTTCTCTCTGCTTCCGTGTTGGTTTTTAGACTTGAGGACACATTATTTTTTGTGCTGGAGGAAGGTTCAGGAGAAAGAATTTGGGTCTGGTTTACTAATGCTCTGTTTTCCCTCCTTTTAGACTTCCATGGAGTCATTGATTCATCACTTCAAGTTGTATACTGAGGGCTACCAAGTTCCTCCAGGAGCCACGTATACTGCTATTGAGGCTCCTAAGGTGAGGGGAAGAGGGAAGGGGAAAGGCCAAATGCCAGGTTTCTGTTCTCACGACTAAGAGGCTCAGGGGTCACTCTAGTTAAACTGGGCTAACTGGGCTGCACAAAATAACCACACAAGAGACACAAATACCTTTTTCTTTGGGGTCGCTGTGACGGCTCCTCTGACCTTAAGGGTCTGCAGAAAGAGAGAGAG